CGTCCGGGACACTCAGAGCCCGACGACGTTGGTCGTTGCGTCGAGCGTTTGGCGCAGGTGTCGTGTGGGTCGACCTCATCTCCCAGACACGGACCCCATGGATGAAAGATATGTCCGAACCACGCCAATGTAGGCATATATGGCAGTCCCATGGAGTGTCTGGGTATGAAATTCATATCGAATTCGGATTCGGATTCCCTGACTCACAGCTTCGATTGAAGAAGGACACCCAGTAGCCCCGACTCCAGAGCCTTTCTTCTACCATTTGCTGCAGCTTGGGTTCGATTTGTCGGCATCCGTGTTGTGCGCTTTGTGTTTCACTGTGGCTCCAGCCAATTATACCTCTTGCCTCTGAATCCGCAGAGATGCAGGTTACGGCTGTGTCTGGCAACGCAGTTGCTCAGCTTGATGAACATGAGCTGCATTGCATGGTGGAAAATAGACAAACTGTTCGAGACCTCAAGCGACGTCTTTCACCGCCTAACTTGCCTTCCACAAGTTTGCTGCACGTCCGTTAAGACCAGCGCAGCAGGCCGCGGAGGTGGCAACTGGACCAGAGTTCACGGAAAAATGTCATTTCAACTTTGCTGACTTTCTTAGTGGAAGCTGTGGACCCGATGTAGTAGAACTTAGACTCTTGATTCCATTTCAACCCCCCAAGCCTAAAGAGGTGGCCCACATGGTCTTACAATCCATGGGCAGCAGGGCGTTGAAGAGTCAACCCAAATCGCTCAGCCGCCCAAGCCCGGCCACTCCGGTGGTCGAAGATGGTCGAAGCAGCTTTCCGATCGGTTTTGAAATCGACCGGTTGGGCTGTTTGAAAACGGAGCGTTTGGAAACAAACAAAACACGTCTCGTTTGAGAAGGGTCAGGTAAGCTGAGACTCCATGCTACTGGAATAGTTACGTTTTTTAATGGGTCACGTTCATGGAGGTTTCATTTTGTGGGACAAACACCATGCACCTCATGAGCATTTTCGCTTTTCGATCGAGCATTTCGATTCGAGCTGTGTTGATGAACTTCGCCAACCAAACGGTTTGGCTCAAGCTGAGCAGGTGGAAAAGACCGCTTGCTTTGAACGCCCCAACTCATACCTCCTTAGGTTATGAGCCCAAACCGCTAGGGTTCTAAGTCCACCCACAGCCTTTGAGTGAGAGGTGTGGTTGCTGGCCGCCATGGCCGCTTTGCAGCGCCGACGCAGGCAGAGTTCCCGAGAAGGAGCAGCTGAACCCGCAGAGGCCCCTCGACGTGCACATCGAGAAGAACGAAAGAAGCCAGAGGAAACAGCAGATCAAAAGTTGGACCGGTTGCTCAAGAAGCAAAGGGCAGCTCTGGCCTCGTCACTTCCTGCTGAAGATGATCTTGCTGTTCGACGCTTGGCTATGCACCCTACGGCTGAGGGAGGTGAACCTCAGGGGAGAAGAAGAGAGGGAAGTGTGGCACTTCAACCTGGACATCATGGAGGGCATCACGATGCATCAGCTGGCCAGCTGGCCGGGGCTGGAGGCCTCATGAGCGCCTTGCATGATCCTCGGGCTAACGCCTTGGGTCTGGGCGGATTGCAAGAAGCAGCACGCCAGTCGTTCGAGTTGTTGCAACAGGCATTAGGCCACCACATGCCGCCTTCACCGGCTCCGGGACTTTTAGATCCCCTTCTTCGAGGTTCTGACCTACCTCAAGGACCAGGTTCGGGACTACCTCATCAACCAGGTGGCGGATTCTTTGGTGGGCAAGGTTCTTTGGCTGGAACTCCACATCAACCTGGAGCTCCACACGGTGATCCAAGAATGGGCACGCCTGCAAGCACAAGGCAGGTAGAGCGGGAGGAGGTGAAACCCAGGGTGCTTGAACCATTTCGCACGCCACAGGGCCCCCTTGCCACTGTGAACCCCTTCTGGACCACTTCAATTCAACAAGCTGCACGAGGTGAAGGTCATGTGAGAATGGCGGAAAGTGCAGGTGCTCGGGCTACCAACGGAAGTCCAGGACCTGGGGATGTTGAGAAACTTCGTACCCAGATCCTCAAAGAGGCGGAGGAGAAGTTCGCTCGTGAAGTCAAACGCATAACTGATGGAGCAGGTGGTGGTGATGCATCGTCGTATGCCTCCGTTGCCAGTGGTGGAGTTGATGGTCGTGGAACTACAACACATCCTGGACTACCACATGGTGATCCCTCAGGTGCAGGTGGACCTCCCGGGTCAGGACCAGATCCTCCCCCAGGCCTTCATGGTGGACAACCTCATGGGGATGCTCGAACCCCGCTGGCTCCGGTCGTTCCAGAGACCGTCAGGGCTTTGGATCTTCCTGCCCTTCCACTACCTTCATCCGAAGGCGCGGCATTGCAGTTTGGGGATTGGCTGACTGTGGCCTATCCGTTGATGGCGGACTTGTCCTCTACCTCACAGTTTTGGTGGGATGGATGCCTTTCTGCCGCTCGTGAACTATATGAACAGTGGCTGGTGGCCACGCCCTTGGAAAGGTTGCGCCTGCGGCCAAAAGATGTCACTGTGGACCCCTTGTACCAGAGAGTGGAGCAGCGGGGAGTGTCATTGCTGCTGGGCATCCTGCCCGAACAACTGAGAAGAGATGTCATCTCCTCTCGCCACGTTACAACTGTGAGCATCCTGTTCAAGTTGTTTGTAGTGTTTCAACCTGGAGGAGGAGCTGAACGCACAACGCTTCTCAAAAGCCTCACCGATGTGAAGGTGGGTCACTCCGTCACGGAGCTCCTGGCGACGATGCGGCAATGGCGCCGATGGTTGCAGCGAGCTGAAGAACTTAAGGTCACGCTGCCAGACCCGCTGATCCTCATGAATGTCCTTGGCAAGATCATGGACTCGTTGGCCAAGCTGGGAGGCAGTCAAGTGGCGTACAGAGTTTCAACTGTGCGCCAGGAATTGTTGGTGGATCAACGTCCGGAGATGAACTCCATTAAGGACCTCAGCGAGTACCTGCAGGCGGAGCTGGAAGAGCTGGCTTTGGTTGCTGCAGTCCCCAAGGGTGCCGCCAACACGACGAGCTCGCCCACTGCCGGTGAAAAGACTCCGGTGGTGAAGGCGATGCAGTCCGGCACTCAAGAAGAAAAACCTCGGTCTCCATGCAAGTTTTGGGGGACCCAACATGGCTGTAAACGAGGAGACACTTGTGGCTATGGGCATAGCTGGGAGGGCTTGGACCGACAGCACAGGTGCTTCCACTGTTCTGGGGAGGGTCACATGGCGAAGGATTGTGTGCACCGTCAACCCAAGAACTTCAAGGATGTGAAGAAGGCAGCTCGCTTGCGAGGAGTTGCGCCCGAGGGCTCGAAAGAAGGCCCAACCAAGGAAAAGGAGGTTGAAGTGGGAAGTCCTGGGTCTACATCGACTTCGAGCCCATCGCCCTTGTCGCCGACGACGGTGTCTGGAGGGGGATTGAAGGATTCGGGAGGTGGTTCTCCAACCAAAATGCTGGAGGAAAAGCCCAAGACTGACATCGCCACAGGCCTCATCCAAGAAGCTGCAACGCTGCTCAAGACGCTTCGGTCCGTGAAGACGATGCGCATCAAGCAGATTAGTGCTCACCCTCAGGAGTTTGGAACTCAGGGGTTTGCCCTTTTGGACGGTGGGGCCACCCATGCCCTACGTGTTGCTCGACCTGAAGAACGAGCTGAACTTTTTCCAGTTGAAGTGGAGCTGGCACAAGGCTCAACAGTTTTGTATCGCCACCCCAAGCATCGCACCTTGTTGTCCCTGACGGAGGTTGAGCCGATCATTCCTCTGGGCCTCTTGGTTGAGCGCGGCTTCAAGGTGGAATGGCGACGTTCGGGATGCAGCATCCACCACCCGACTTTGGGACCAATCCCCTGTTGGCTGAGGAATGGATGCCCCATCATGCATCGACAGCCTGCGCTTGACATGTTGGCGCAGTTTGAGATGGAGGATCAGGGGGAGGTGGCTCTCTCTGATGAAGATCGAAGTTGGTGGCAGAAGCATTTTCCTGAACTACCACTTCCAGTTCTCCAGCATATGGCTGGTCAAAGTCAAGAATCTACAGCTTCGCCCTGGAATCGAAGGTTGCGACGGGCCCACATGACTGGAAAGGGTGTCATTGTTCACCTTTTCAGTGGAGCTGATGCGAAGAAATGGAATGATGTTGGTGGAGGCCGCTACTCATGGCTGTGCATCGACACTGAGATCAATGCAGCCCTGAACCTCCACAACCCTTCAGTTTGGAGTTACTTGTGGAAGCTGGCATCACTTGGCCGCATTGTTGCCATCATTGGAGGTCCTCCATGCAGAACTGTAAGCCGCCTTCGAAATAAGGCTCCTGGCCCTCGACGACTACGTGGCCGAGGAGAAGATCGTTGGTGCCTTCCTGATTTGGACGATGATGAGCAGCGCTTGGCCCACGGCGACACTGCACTTTGCATGAAGCACATTGGTCTTTGGCTACGTGCTCAAGAATGCCGTCGTGTTCCCACGGATGTTGGAATGTTGCTGGAATCTCCACGTGACCCAGCTGAATACTTGAGTGATCAAGAAGGAGCTCAAAGCGCATCTTTTTGGTGCTTCCCGGAAATCACGGCCTGGGTGGGAACTGCAGGACTTCGTCTGGTCACCTTCGACCAAGGACGGTTGGGTCATCAGCGAAAGAAGCCCACGACGGTCCTCACCAACCTCCCGGCCTTCGAAGAACTACATGGTCTCCAGGGTGAAGGTTGTGATGATAGTCCACTACCCACCAAGCTGGCAGATCGCATTCGCACTTCAAAGTCTTGGGCCGCTTGGGCGCCGGGACTTGTGGCTGCTATCAAGGAATCGCTGCGGAGGTTGCTTGGCGTTTTGGAGGAGGAAAGTCGAAGTGGTGACACCCACAACATGTCCAAAATGGACCTGGCAGCCTGGCACCGACACATCAAACAGGGGCACATTCCCTTTCGTGCTGACTGCCGAATTTGCGGTGAAGCAATGGGCTGTGATAAACCTCACAAAAGACTTGGGGGGAGCGCAACGAAGTTCACTATGTCAGCGGATCTATGTGGACCCTTCCCTGCTGGTCGTGACCTTGGCACTGGAGTGACCTGTAAGTATGCACTGATCTCCACTGTGGCCGTGCCTATCGTTTCAGAGCTTCCAGGCGAGGTTGCCGAGCCCTATGACACTGCAGACGACGTCAAGCACACTGAGGACCTGCCCTGTGATCCTGAAGAGCGAGAGATGCTCTCTGATGATGAAGTTCAGCGGCTCAATGAGTTGGCCCAGATTGAAGAGGCCCAAGAAGCTCCTGGACACCAAAATATCACGTTTGCTGAGGTGATCCCAGACAGAACTGTGGAGTCTTTGGTCCGTGCCCTTTCTCGACTACATGCCAAGTACCGCATGCTGGGCATCCAAGTGTACCGCCTCCACACAGATCGAGAACGATCGTTTGCCTCAGTCCCAATTCAAAAATGGTGTGAACAACGTCAACTTCGATTGACTCTGACTGCAGGCGATGACTCGAAGGCCAACGGCCGCATTGAGGGAGAAGTGAACCAGATCAAGCGCCGAACCCGACTTCTTTTACATGATTCTGGACTTCCTCAATCCCTCTGGCCAACAGCCCTACGCCATGCTGCAGAAGGCCGTGTGCGCCTACAACTTGAAAGATTGGGCCTGCCGAGCCCACCAATGCTTCGCTATGGAGCTTCAGTTTTGGTTAAGTCCAAACGCTGGCATCGCGCTGGACAACTTTCCATGCCCTACCGCACCATGCAGCTCCTGGGACCATGCCCATACATGTCTCATGGTTGGATTGCCCGCGACAGAAAGGGGCAGCTGCTGCATGTGAGGACGGCTTTGGAACCTTCGCCGGTTGCTGACCAGGCGATCATGGATTTGCAGGAGGTGCCATCAATCAAGCACCGCATTGTGGGGAAACATCAACCACCTCTACCTGACCATCCTCTTGCTGGAGCCGTGGGCGCCTTGTATGATAAGTCTGACCCAGCTCTTGCTGCTTGCCGAGCTGGGGGGGAGGATCCTTTGCCCTTTTTGGACGAGGTTGGCTGCTCCTTGGCACTTCAATTTGAGGATGAAGGGGATTCGGAGGAGGTTGTTGGAGGTCCCACTCCCGATAGTCTTGATCAAGGTGATCAATGTCAACACCCTGACCTTCCGGGGGAGCTGGAAGATCCTATGTGCTGCTCACGACAACAGGCAGAGCAGTGGCATGAACTTGAACAACAACGTCACTGGGCTTTAAAGCAGCTCTGGTGCCAAGGTCTTCGAGAAGTTGCAGTTGGCGAGGACGCTGGGAGTGTTCATGGCAGCTGGCTTCGTGAAGTTGAATTGCTGCTCCGAGGTGCTGAAGATCAATTGTCGTTTCAGCATTCCTCCTTGCAGAACTACAAGATGGCTTCACTGGCTCCAATGGCTGGTTCAACTGAGGTCCCAGTCACGGTGCTCCAGACCTACACGGTCTCACTACAGCAGGTCCGCAAGGAGTTGGAAAAATGGAAGCCTTCCTTGCGTGATGAATATGGTCAATTGGTCTCATCGACCCAGGCAATCAAGCCAACTACTGAAGAAAGGTTGCGCCTTGATCCAAGGTTTCCAACTATGGAACTTGCTCCAGCTATGCTTGTTCCCACGGTCAAGAGTCCTCATGGACGTCTCAGAGCACGGGTGGTAATCTGTGGCAACCACCTCACCAAGGTCAACGAGGACCAGGACAACTCGGCAAGTGAAATGAAGGCCAAAGACCAGGCTCCGTATTCACTATATGCAGGAGGAGCAGATGGAACAACACTGCGTTGCTTGATGAGGTGCGCAGCTCAAAGATCCTGGTCAATTGGCACGGTGGACATCAAGACAGCGTTCTTGTTAGCACCACGGCCGGACGAACGGGAACGTTTGCTCGTTGCTCGCCCTCCGAGGGTGCTCGTCGAAGCTGGAATATGTCCTCCCACCGAACTTTGGGAGATATCCCACGCTGTTTACGGGTTGAACGATGCCCCGGCAAACTGGTCGCACTATCGCGACAGAGAACTCCCTCAGCTACGCTTCAAGGCTGAAGGTCACGAGTACCAATTGGTCACCACGCCCGAGCCTAACCTCTGGAAGATTGTCAAGGCTTGGCCCAACAGCATCCCTGAGGAGGACACGTCGGAGGGCTTCTTGGCAGTGTACGTTGATGATATGCTGGTTGCTGCTCCAAGTCCACTGGCTCAGGCAGTGATTGATGGAATCAGGGCTCGTTGGCGCTGTTCAGAACCGGAGTGGGCATCGTCAGAGAAGTCCCTTAAGTTTTGAGGCTTCGAGATCAAGTGCCGCCCAGGTGAGGTCATCCTGAACCAGACCTCCTACACTCGAGATCTCCTTGCACGCCACGAAGGCATCAAGTCGAGACAAACTCCTTTGCCCCTTGGCGTACAAGATGAACTGGAGGAAAACATATCCATTGAACAGGTCCGCAAGGCCCAGGCTCTCGTTGGTGAATTGCTCTGGCTCAGCGGGCGAACCAGGCCTGACCTCAGCTATGGAGTCTCCATCATGGGCCGCTTGGTGACGAAAGCTCCGGGAAAAGTTTTGGAATGGGGGGCTCACATGCTTGGGTATTTGCACTCCACCGTGGACTATGAGCTGTGTTACACCCAACAGGTGTTTGAGGCTCCATCCATCGAGTCCGAGGCGACCAAGCTCCCCAGTGTTCGGGTTTTTTCGGATGCTTCTCACGGTCCCCAAGGTGGAAGAGGTCAACAGGGGTTGCTGGTCACTTACAATGGATCCCCGGTTCAATGGGAAAGTCGGCAGCAGCCGTTCGCCACCCTCTCCAGCGCTGAATCGGAGCTGATGGGCTATGTTGATGGAGTGGTGATGGGTGAGTCGGTCGCAGCCATCGTGAACGTTTTGGAGGACCACAAGCTGCACCTCGAAGGCGAGCAGGTCCTTTGCGGCGATTCGCAAACTGGGTTGAAGATTTTGGTTGCGCCTGACGGACCATGGCGTACGAGGCATTTGAGACTAAGGGCCTACGTCGTCAAGGAGCGCATTCAGCAGCAGTGTTGGCGCACCTTGCATGTTCCTGGCACTGAACTGCCATCGGATCTGCTGACGAAGCCGATCGTGAACCCGGCTTCATGGCAGAAGTTTTTCCATTTTTTAGGAGCACGTGTGTCCTCAGGGATTGGGCAGAAGGATGAACATCAGTCGGTTTGTTCTAGGCTCCAGGCGGTTGTAGCTGGAATATTAGGAATGGCTGTTTGGAATCCAATCCATGAAGCACACAAGATTGCACGCTCATCATCACAGCACTTGTAGCATACCTGGCCTCGAAAGCACAGGACCTCAAGAAGATCATTGGACACCTTCCGGCAGAATCCCAGGCTGAGGCGCCACGGGGACGGGATTCGGTCGAAACAAGATCGGTGAGGGAAGATGAACCCACCGCACTAGGAGGGGAAGAAAACACAAGATCGGTGAGGGAAGATGAACCCACCGCTGGGCTGGGGGGACGGGCGGGCGACATTAGCCTAAAAGGCTCCCGTGCGGCCGTGTTCGAACCTCGCTGCCATGGACATGGTGTGCGCCTTGCTGCTATGCGCGCTGAGCCCAGCACTGAGTCCGGAACATGGACGGTGGCTGGACCTCATGACATGAGTGGCCGCAATTCCGACTTCCTCCACAAGGACGAGATCGATGTGGGCGGCTGCGCGATGGCTGGTGGGTTCGACATCATGTCAAACCAAGAAAAAGGCCATTCCATCCTGTACATCGGCAGACGCCATTCGACGCGGCTCAAATCCGCGGTGGACGGGTTACTGTGGTATGGCTGCATGGCGAGAAGTCGGTGGTGGAGGATGACTGGCGCAGTGGCACCAGGCCTATGGTTCCGACAGAGGAGCAGTGGGTGGGCTACAGTTTTTTCCGTGACAACCCACCTCAACCTCCGCTGCCTGAACATGCCACCTTGGATTCACAAACGAGCTCTTCAACCCCTGCTGGCCAGACGACGGGAAGCTCCTCGACACCGACGCCACCTGGACAGTCGCTTTCGACTTCGCAGGTCAGTGCGTCATCGGGGCCTCCACCGGTTCAACCAGAAGAGGAGCTGCTGAGAGGAATCAGGAGGGTTCGAAGAGGCTCAACAGATAGCTCCACAGGAACACCAACGAGCACCTTGTCCTCGACGATGACGGCATCGACTCGCGGCATGGATGCTATGGAAGCACCTCTCACTCTCGGCTACCTTGGCCGGATGAGGGGACAGGAGAATCGAGGAGAGAGGCCTGCGCCAGCCAACATGCAGGTTCCTCTTGAGGAAGAGCGGTCGGATTGGATCCTCTCGCTCCACTCCGAAGGTTTGCTGCTTGCCCGGCATCCCAATTTGCCGGATGAAGCGACGCCTCAATGGTTGGGCATACAAATGCCTGTGGCTCGGAGCTCGCGCCCTGCCGGCGCTGGACGACCAAGTGAGGCCTCCAGGCCCACGGCTCGAAGTGAGGGCACCAGGCCCGCTGCCCGAAGTAGCCAGGGTCCCATGCCCATCAACGAGGAGTGGGATTCTGATGGAAGCTATGAGCTTCTAGAGAACTGAATGGCTGACCGAAAGGTCTTTTGGCCAATGGAATGCGGTGGCGCACCGCAGGGGGAGTGTGGGACAAACACCATGCACCTCATGAGCATTTTCGCTTTTCGATCGAGCATTTCGATTCGAGCTGTGTTGATGAACTTCGCCAACCAAACGGTTTGGCTCAAGCTGAGCAGGTGGAAAAGACCGCTTGCTTTGAACGCCCCAACTCATACCTCCTTAGAGGTTTCATTTAAATGGAGTGTTGGGGAAGGATCGTTTTTTTGAACTGCTTCTTTAACGCTCTTCTTTGATGGAAAACTCAGGGATTCTATTGCTTGGGCCTCAGATGGGCCTCAGCAGCGAGGGGGTTCTAGAGTTGTAAACCCTGACAGAAGTGCAAAGCTGCCACATTTGGGAATTGCCATGAATTTTAGGGAAACTTAAATATTAGTAATGGCCTCCACCCTAATAGCAATGGCCTCCACCCTAATAGCAATGGCCTCCAACCTAATAGCTCTGGCCTCCACCCTCATGGCCTCCACCCTAATAGTAATGGCCTCCACTCTAATAGCTCTGGCCTCCACCCTCATGGCCTCCACCCTAATGGCAATGGCCTCCGCCCTAATAGCGATGGCCTCCACCCTAATGACAATGGCTTCCAAGGCCTCCAACCTAAATACCTGATTTTGTGGTGTCTGCCTGTGAACCTGGAGCCTGCTCAGGTAGTGAAGGTGTCTTGACTGCATCAGTCGCGGAGGTCTTTCAAGCGGAGGTCTTTCGGCAACCTCTTCACAACCAAAACCGTCCTTGCTTAAGATCAGGGCTGCTGGACAAGAAGTCTCAGCTGACTGGCCTCCAGATGTGGAAAGCTTTCGTCAGGGTGGCAAGGACAACCAGGACTTTGGTTGTAGGGTAATGGCAAACTGAGAGGTCAAGACCTTGTGCTCCCAATGTGTTTTTCCCCAAAAAGGAATTAACAATTGTCCATGGTTTTGAGGAATTTGGGTTTTGACCATTTGCCCTTTTGAGCTGCGATCCGTCAGGAATGGATTTCAGGAATGGGTCCGTGCTACGGACAAGGGCAACTCCTGGGTATGCAAGACATCACAAAGACCACCCAAGCTTCCAAGAGAGGTTGAAGAACCCTGTAGGCTATCCCATAGGTATTCCAGTAGGGTCTTATAAGGTCACTTAACCTCTGTTGCTTGACGCATGAGAATTGATCCTGCAAGTCAAACATGGCAATGTCACTTCAAGGAACCCTGGTCGAACGTTGACTTCCAGGCTCAATAGATCTCCCGAGGCACAGATCTGCTGCCACTCGCACTGGTGCCCCTTGTGCCATCACAAAAGAGGTTGAGAGATCAGGACTTATGGGATACGCTTCACACCTCTTCAACCTCTCTAGGGTAGCCTGGTAGCTTGACCTTCTTCTCGTGGCTAGGCGTTCGCCACGTGCTGTTCGGTGTAATGATTATCTCGCCCCCAGGGCAGGTAGCTTATCACTCCATCACATATGCTGGAAAAAACCTGTGTTTGGCGGATCAGGTGATGTGTCAGTTTCCCCGAACTGGGTGAATCCCCAAACTGACCTGGGGCAAGACGTGATGTTCTTCGCATCCTGCTCCTCTTCCCCGGGAAGCTCCGCCACGGAACACCGCAGTGGCTCCAGGTGCAGCATCGCAATGTGGCGCCACAATTCTTCCAGGAGCGACCGAGCGGCACGCCCCAGATCCGCGGACGGCACCGGAGCCACGTTTCGGCCTCGGCACGGCTTGCGGACGACGTCCGTGGCGAGGGAGTCCAAAAGCAGTGTGTCCGTGAAGCATGTGAATGATTAGGGTTTGTCCGTTCTTACCTGGTGTACTGGAACATGATGTATGATCGTTCCTTGAAATTATGATCTTTACCTGTAAGAGTCAGTAAACAATTATCACTATTTTTGGACAAGGCCTGCAACCTAACCATCATCATCCACTGTTACAGGTAATAGGATAGACCCAATGAATGATCAAATGGCAGGGACAGATGTTTTTGGTGTGCAGATGATGGATCCGTATCTAGTAGGACCTATAGCAGCTAGATACATGCCGCTGGAACGAACCCCAATTCCCCCCTATGTTGCAGGAACTTCGATCCTACGATCGAAGCCCAATGGCTCGTTGGGCACTGCATTTAATCCGCAGCGACCCCGCAGAGACATGCAGAGACCCCATTTAATCAGGTCAACCCAATCCTCAATGAATTCAAACCCCTTCTGTTATCCCTAAACTAAAAACGGTCTAAAAAGGGAAAAAACAAAGACATGCTTGAACATCCCCGTTTGGCTGGCAAGTATCTTTTCGTAGCTGCACTGTCTTGATTATAACAGTATCCGATTCCCATGTTAAAGAAATATTAAGGATTTCAAGTTGGAGTCAAAACATTTAAACATATATACAACAAAGGAAGAACAGGGTTCCATACAAACCTCAAATTCAGATTTTATAAGACCACAATTTGAGGAGTTTCTAGGGCTTCTCGGCATTCTCCTTCGGCACCTGCAGGCAACAGCGCCAGATATGAATAGCTTGAGGATCCAGATCAATTGCTCATATTGCCCCATGATTGTATTCAAATCATCAGTCAAACAAGTATCATTTAGAGTAATTACAATTCTGTCTTCAAGATCTTTCAGGAAAGTAGAGCCCAGCAAAAAGATAGAACGATCCAATGTCTTCAAAAAGATCGGTGTTTTAGATGTTTTAGTATTGTTTTCGAAACCTTGGGTCTGTCGTCCGCAGCCAGCCCACCCGAAAACACCTTGAGATGAGAATCTTCGCGGTGTCGCATAAAAAATGCCTGGTTGATGGGATGGATGGAGAGGATAGAGAGTGCAAATGATAGAGAGTGCCAAATCTCTCAAAGATACCAAAGCCTCAAGGATATCAGTGGTATATCCTCATAAATCTCAAGAATCATATAAATCCTATGGAACAAAGCCAACAAGACTGAAACGGAATAGACTCTTCTCTTCAAGAAGTCTCAGTTTGATACAACCCTAGAAAGCATGTTCTCTTTGAAACCGGGCCTTGCAACGCCTCAACCGGGGATTGGGAAGTTCCCAGGGAAATGCTCCTCGTGTTCTCCCGTTGTACTTGGTTCACTATAGGTGATGGTTTCGGATATGTTCAACCCAAGCACTTCGGGATGATTGGACGGACCCTGAAGGACTCATATTTGTCGTTCGTGGGTTGAAAACACCAACCAGTTCATGGTGTCGTTCGTAACACGCATTTTCAGACAAGGAGTTTTGTTGCATGTTTTGCTCCAAAAAATAACGCAGACCTTCTTGTATAGGATCATATACAACGAAGACCGTGTCGACCGTGCCCGATTTTTGTGTGTTTCTATAGGGAATGTGTTTTTTTTATTTGGTCAGTGCTCCAGTCCAATCCTGTCGTTCAGACGGGGATCTTGAACACTTGTCGTACAAACCGGCGGAAGGTTTCTTCAAGTACGCAACACCCATGGTCTGCAGCCGCATGGTTCGTCGCGCAGGACCTGCGGAATGCCCAGGTCTTAGCCAAGTTATTGGCACTTGTGGATCCAGCAAGGGCCCTCAGAAGTCGGGAGATCGTACGTTTGATGGTCCCATTCTTAGGGAGGTGTCCCACTAAAAACGAACAAGTGACAAGTTTGGTTCACCTTGTTTTTCAATTTTTGTTCGCAAGACGGTTGGGAGAGGGATGCGCAGTTGAGAGTGCTGATGTTGGCGTTTTGGTGCTTCAGAAGAGGGTTGGAGATCCATCAATTGTTGTTTGACCTCTGTGTGCGTGTGTTTTGTTTGGTTATAAATGTGTTTTTTGTCCATGTGTTGTTCTTGTGTGTGTGTTGTTTGTTTGTTTGTTTGTTTGTTTGTTTGTTTGTTTGTTTGTTTGCTGATTTTGCTGCTTGGCTGTTTCGCTATTTAACAATTAATTGAGATACACATGGAGATTGCAAAGTTTTGTTAACAAGGTTGCTGTCGATGGGGCGATCGGGTGTTGACCAGCACGGCTGGGTGCGCTGTTGGGAGGTCTGAACATGCTGCTCATCAATCAAAACACTGGAAATGTGATCGGGAAGATATGCTTGTTTTCCAGACACCTCGCAAAATCATGAATCCCCACGGCTTACTCGCTCCTTTTACGGCTTCACAACTTCATTGACATCATCTACAAAAGCCATAACAAAAATATAAAAATAAACCACCATCGATCTATAGCATGTGTGGATTCGAAGTACCTCAAAGCGCTGCGGTTTTTACCGCGCCGCGCAACGGACGGCCCAGCGAAACGCCCGCAGGAAGGAGTCCCCGACCTGCGTCCGATCGTACAAAGCTTGCGAGAGGCTGCCTGGGGTGGGGGCTTGGACGCCCGTGGTCGTCTCCCGCGCTGCGGTGCGGCGCGCCGTGGTGGGTGGCTTGGAGTACCGGGAAGTTCCCACGAAGAAGACGTAAAGAGACACGGAAGGATCGTGCAGTCGGGGACGGGCGCTGACCAGAGGCACCGGCCCTGGTTTTTGGGGCTTTTGGAGCAGGAAGTGGAGTTGTTCAATGAATCTGACTGGAAGAATCGCCTACATCGGGGTGGCCAGGTCAAGAAGTGACCCAGGTCAAGATCATGTCGACTCTTGAGGGCACCCCCCCCCGGATTGGGTCTTGAAAATCCTCTTCGACCTCACTCGCGCGATCTGCTCCCAAACAGGTTCACGCAGCACCACTAGCGTTCCACTATATGGTGATCGAACATGTCCAGGGGGGGGGTTATGAATTCTAAGCGTCTACATGAATGGAAGGTATTCCATCCATGGAAGTCCCGTGGATGGAGATGGCTTGTTTGGTTTGGGGGTCCTGGAGACTGGGAGACTACTAGGAGACGAGTTTCGGACGACTGGGGTCAGCAAGCAACCTGGAAGTCATGTTTCTCACCGCCCTGGTGGTGTATTATATCGGTCCTTTACCTATCACTATGTCATGAGTCTTTTTAGTTATTAGCTTTACG